TGGCCTCCAACGGCCTCCAACCTAATGGCGATGGCCTCCAACGTGATGGCGATGGCCTCCAACGTGAGCGATGGCCTCCAACGTGATAGCGATAGGACCGCAGTAAGGCACTTGTTACTACTAGTAAGGCAATTGTTACTACTAGTAAGGCACTTGTTACTACTAGTAAGGCACTTGTTACTACTAGTAAGGCACTTGTTACTACTAGTAAGGCACTTGTTACTACTAGTAAGGCACTTGTTACTACTAGTAAGGCTCTTGTTACTACTAGTAAGGCACTTGTTACTACTAGTAAGGCACTTGTTACTAGTAGCTTCGTGTTACTAGTAGTAAGGCCCTTGCTCCTAGTAGCGATGCCTTTGGTTCTGTGGATTTAGACCTCGATCCGATGTCCCAGGTCGTAGCTATGCTGAGACGCGTGAAAAAGAGCGGGCTGTTTGGGCCGCACGAAACGGTCACGCAACGAGGGTCACGAAACTTGCGAAATACGAACCTTCTGACTCTGGCTTTGGTGCTGCTGCTTGCAGCTTGCAGAGTCTCTTGCGCTTGACCTGACAAGTCAGCTCCTGAAGATTGCGATCAGATTGCGATCATCCAAGTCCAGACTCTTTACGTTCAACTGCTTGGGGCAACCTTTACCCTGCCATGACTGGGTCAATTCGTCCGGTTTCCTTCGGCGTGTTTTGGGTCCAAGCCGTTTTGGGTCCAATTCTGATCGGCACGAGCTGCCTCACGTCCGAAAGAATGGAAAGATCTGGTTAGCATGGCAGTCCGGAGGTCAGCTTATTTGTTTAGAAGGGGAATGCATTGAAGCAAAGATCAGACAGCAGTGTGCAGTGTACTAAGTACATCTGAGTACTACTTGTAGGAGTCATTAGGAGTGGCAGGAATGATATGGAATGATGGAACTGAAGTGGTCCGGAGAATTTGGAGCAAACCGCCCGTCCCGACCCTCACGAAGCCATGCCCAAAGTGTCTGCCATATATGCTGCTGCCAGATGTCAGCCTAGCACAGCGCTGGTCCAAGGTGGCAGTTCTGGCCACTGGGCAAATCAAAGCGAAAGCGTAGCGGTCCCAAACCATCGAGACGCACATGCGTTTCTCCCCGATCATGGGCGGTTGATCGTCGTTCTCTCCCAAAGGACGTAAAGAAGTTGAAGGAGAAACACGAAGGACATGATCCCTCCAAAATCGGTAGAGAGGGAAGCGAGTTTGCTCTCCTTTGAGTGGTTAATGTCTAGCTGGCACCGCTGCGACAAGTTTCTGTCCTTTGGAATGCTGCGCTGGGCTTCATTGACCAGGTGCCCCAGTGAAATGTGCTCGATTCCAAGTGCAAGTGGAGACTCATGAAGTGCTGGAAGGACGCTGTTTGAGCTTTTGAGCTTGGCAAATTGGGTTTCAAGAGAAGCGCAAACGTTGCGGTTGCCGTGACAAAGCTCCATTTGAATGTGCAACTAATTATATGAATGTAGTAGCTTCTTGTTCCTAGTAGTAAGGCCAGGAGCCCCTAGTAGCGTTTTGTTCGTAGTAGTAAGGCCAGGAGCCCCTAGTAGCGTCCTTGCTCCTAGTAGCGATACCAGGAGCCCTAGTATGATATTGCTTTCCATTCCACTTGTTGCAACCTGCGAAGCCAAGCATCTGTCGCTAGAACACGAGTTCGAGTACATGGACTATACCCATGTCAGTGACTACTGGTTCGATTGGGTTTCCTTGGAGAAAGCTGAGGCAGGAATTTTGGGAAGACGCACACCTCATTGTGGACACAAGACTTGGTCAGTATCATCCCAGCTTCTAACTGTTTTCAAAGCTCTTTTCGTGTGATCATTCTGAACACTTACCTGTGAGAGAACACCCCACAAATGAGCCCTCCCCAAAAAGACCAACGAACCAACCGCCGTACGTCTCTCTCGCCTCTTCTGCGACTCGTTTCGTCACACTTACCTCCGAGTCGGCGCGTGACACGTCGCGACACGCGTCGCCAGGCGAAGGAGCGTTCCACCTCAGCGCCACCACGGAGGTGCCACCCGACGGGGTCGTCGCGCTCGGTACGACGAAGCAAGGACCCCACCCTGCAGGGCATCGCCCATCACCCAGTGCGCATCACCCAGTTCAATGACAAACACGACCACGTACGAACACGCACCACGCCAGCACCAGACACCGGCTAACACGTCCTGCCAGCATTTAAACACCCAGGTGTCCCATTCCTGAATGGCATGGGGCCACGCGTGTGCTCTTTTCACATTGACCTCGCCCAATCGCATAGCGCACCGACAATACAGAGGCAATCTTGCCACATTGTCATAGTAAAAAGCAGCCAGAGCCGCAGAGCGCAGAGCTCCGAGAAGCCGCGCAAAGAGCGTCCTAGAAGTGTCTTAAGCAAGATGCTGTGCAAGAGTGTCCAAGAAGAGTCACGCAAAAGAATGCCCTAGCCTAGCGTCATGGTCGTGGTAAGGTGGTAGTCAGATAGTAGGTAGTAAGAGTCGGGTAGTGTTTAGCGCGCCTGGGTAGGAGGCAGGTGTCTTACGGCTGTGTGTTTTAACCTTCCTTTGTCACACTGTTTGCTGTTTGAGGTCTATTTTGGAACCTACCTGTCAACATACAGAGGAAGTTTGCAATGAGTGTGTATAAACATTCCCTGGAGGAATGTTGAAAAACCTCCAATGACAATTCCTTGTGGCAGTCCTTTTGAACATTCCCCTTGCCAATAGCCTATTTCAACCTGGCTCTACCGTATTGTCATTTTGAACCGTCCTCCTTCAGAGAACGGAGAGAGCCGGTGAAGATTGGCAATTGTTGGCCTACTATATTCGTTCCTAGCGTCCCTGCTCCGTTCGTAGCGATGCCCGGGTTCCTAGTAGTGCATGCCAGGAGCTACGTTCGTAGCTTCTTGTCACTAGTAAGGCCAGGAGCGCCCCGTTCGTAGTGTCCGATCGCTCCGTTCGTAGCGTTCTTGTTCCTACCTCCTAGAGTCAGGTTCAGTTCACTACAGGCTTCCATTCTCGACTCCAAAAGCCCCATTGCGGCATCGATTGGCATCAGCAGCACAAATCTGAGGGCTGAAGACACATGACCGAAACAACTTGGTGTTGGCCTTTTGTTTTCAACCTGCTTTAATCTTCTCCTAAATAGCTATCTCCTTGTGCTCTCAGCATTCAGCATCCCAGCCCTTTCTTTGCCCACTGTCACAGCCTTGGCAGTGATCCTAAACGCATCCACAAGTACAATCTTGCGCATGAGGGAATCCCAGAAAAACTGAGGACGTTTTCCACCGTTGGAAGTTCTGGGCACTGCTTCCCACTCTCTGACGCCTCGTGCAGTGGCAACAGCGGCTGGGCATGCCGCCACGATGCCTTTCGACCGCTGACCGCGAATGAGGTTCCAAACAACTTGGCTTCGTCCCAATTACTGAAAAACAGGTGTTTCAAGAGGTGGGTATCACTATACAACATGGCCTAATTACTAATTACTTGGGTATCACTCTACGACCACTCCAATCCTGGGAAGCACCCCCCGCGTGACCAGTGCTCGCCTGGTGGCCCCGAGAGCCGGCAACTAACCCTGCCCTGACCCGACAGTCGCCCAGGCGACTAACGCCAGGACGCGGCAACATGACAACGCCACACACAATTGACCACGTGAACAAGAAGCTACCAGTAACAAGTGCATCGCTACTAGTAACAAGTGCCTTACTAGTAGTAACAAGAAGCTATTAGAAACAAGAAGCTACTATTGACCACGTGCAATTACAAACACGACAACAGACAATGACACATAATGACAACACCTGCCACTGCATGCGCCTTCAAGTGGCATAGATCTGGTTGGGTGGGGATGATTCGAAGATATTCGAAGTATATAGCATCATTTGTGCTGCATGTCTTTTCCTGTTTGGACATTCTTCCTTTCCTGTTTCACATTTCTGTCAAACCTAGACCCGGCCAAGGCTGAAGAGGGCACAGTCACCCGTTTTCGAGCGAACCAAAGGCGCCATCGAGAGGAGTGTGTGTGTGTGTGTGTTTGTTTGTTTGTTTGTTTTTCAAGGCAATGTGACAGGCGTTAAGCTAAAGCACAGCTCACTGTGTCAGATCCAGACTTCGGATGTCCTGGCAAGGCTGCTTGGTGCAACAAGTGGACTAACATGGCAGCTAATTCATGGATTCAGATTGGGATCCACGTATTCCCCAAGCTGAACTAAGCAGAACGAAGGATACTCTTAGAATCAGAACGCCTGCACCGTTATTTGCAAGGTTTTTTGCATGGCACGCGACTGGACATGAACAACCATATGGGGCTATCCTACGTAGAACAGTTTCCGCATACATTCACGAAGTGTGGGCATTGCTTTTGAAGGTGTTAATCCCACATTTTAACACATCCGAGAATCCTACCATAAAGTCGAAGAACTGCAACATATTCATTTGGTCTAGCACGGTACACAGCCTCCTCACACTAGAAGGATGCTAAGCACCACGCGAACAGATGGGGGATAAGAATTTCTTTTGCCCATCGGAGAAAGGCATTTGGATGCACGAGTGGCCTACATGTGGCCCACATGTGGCCGACTCCTCGTGAAGCACGAGGCAATTCTTCCCCCCTCAGGTGACGAACCTTCGTCCCTGCGGTGCCCGCCGAGCGCTGCCATCCCGGTGTCGGCGCCAGCCCCGTTCGAGACGGCACTCCGGAGGACCCAGCGCTGTTGACGGTTCCATCGTTTCGGGGAGCAGTTCTGCCAGTTGAGCCGGGGGAAGAGCAGTTCCTCCCTGGAACTAACATGGTTACGTGGAGTTCACCTGTTTGGTCTGTGGAAGACCATTGGTCTTCCTGTCGGGGCCAGGACGTCCACTTCCATGTCAATGTTAGTTCCAGGGAGTGTAGTCCTGACACGGGGGTTCCCTTTGGCATCACTCAAGGACGGCGCCTTGGACCAGAGCCGGAGCCAGCGCCAGAGCCTCCAGTGGCGGTCCAAGCCGAGCTGTCTGAGCTGTCGGAGTTGGAGATCGAGGCCGTCCGATTTGGGGCTGTGACAAGCTGTGAAGAGAAACAGAAGTGACAAGCTGTGACAAGCTGTGAGGACGTCTTTTTATGGTTCTATTTTTTAAAAATGACACCGGAATTGAGCCAAGACCCCCTCATGCATGCTGCAGAAATCTAGAATCTAGGTGAGAGTCAGAGTACTCCCGTGTAGGGGTCACCCAATGTTCAACTGATGGCGATCCAATCAAGTGCCCTCGCGTCCGCTCTTCGCTCATAGAGATGACAGGACAGGGTTCTCATTCAGTGAACCCCTCATGGGCATGGTCATAAGTTCATAAGTGCTTCTTGACCATAGCAACCAGGTCTCTATGCATGTCTTCTTGGATTTCGTGCAGAGCACTGGGGCCGATCCGTCAAATCCCCGCCGCTCCGCCACTCTCTGTCGTCGCCCAGGCTGGAGCAGCGGAGGAGCAGGGTGGCTTCCGCGCATGGCTGGAGCAGCGGCCGCCAATGATCCGCCTTGGGAACTTCAGGCACTGGTCGTGGGAGAAAGGGCCAAGAGGCTGGGGTGAGTTTTTTTCTGGGCTGGTTAAATGGGCTGTTCACTTTGTGTGGTTTGGACCTGAGGTTTGGTTCAGTGAAACTGTCTCAAGTCCGTCTAGCCAGATCCCAAGTCCGTCTAGCCGATTCCGTGTGCAGGATGACGAGAAGTAGGTGTGACCAGGGCTGGCAACATATTGAACCAAAACACCATGCCGCGTCGCGTAGGTTTTTGGCGCGTGTGAACCCAACAGCTTTGGAGGGTGACACCCTCAGGTCCTCACTTTTTTTGTAGCTACGAACGTAGCAACGGGCATCGCGACTCGAACGGAGCGCTCGGACGCCTCGAGGTGCGAGACAGGCATCGCATGGGATTTTCCATTGGCCAAGAGCGAGAAGCGAGAGCTGCTCCTGCAGCACATCACCGCCAGTGAACGGCATCTTGATTGAAAGGGGAGGCTATAAACAGCTTGGTGAGACTCATTGATTTGGAAGGTCAGCGTTGTTTTTGAGCTTTCTTCGTTTGTTTTCGCTTGGAACTTGTTCAAGTTTGTAGAGATGGCAGCCAAGTCAGAGCTGCACTGAGGATTGCAGAGGAGCAGGCTTCACAGGCTGGTGTGACATGCATGTCCAACATTGTCGTCGCAGATTTCCAAGAAGAATTCTGCACTCAGAAAACAAACAGTTGGAGGGCCTAGGAGGCCATGGCTATTAGGTTGGAGGCCAAGGCTATGAGTAGAAGATTGATGTTTTATTGTTTTTAATATTGTTTTTTCTGCACTATTTTTTCTCAAACGAAAGAGTTACCTTTCCGATCCTCGGTGCAGTGCAGGCAGTGCAGGAGGTGGAGCTTGCCCGCCTCGGCGAGCGGCGCCAGCGGAAGTCCTTGGAGTCGGCCCGGGCGACCATCACCAGGTGGGAAAGCCTCAGAAAACCAGCTGAAATTGGGTGATACTATACATAGTCTAGATTATGTTATAAGAGAACACAACTTCTAGAAAACCAAACCATCTATTAAATGTTCAATCCAACATGCTTTATGTTGTCTCCCTCTCCACAACCTCGCAGGATGCGGAAGAAGGGCCGCAGAAGGTCAAGCTTGGGACCTTTACCTTGATGCAGCGATGGCTGAGGCACCAGAAAAGGGGATTGCATGGACTCCACTATGGGGGGAGCATCCTCGATGGATCCATGTCTGTGTTTCGATTGGGGTCACTCCACTGAGAACCGTTGAGGTTCCAAATCAAGTTGGACACTCAAGTTGGAAAGGCTGACGAACTGGGAGCTTTCTGCAAAACTCCAACGCACTGAGATGAACTGGCTCCAAATCAACACTGCATCTCCACCCCAAACTTGCTTCCCACCGCGCTGTTTACTTAGTCACATCAAGTCCAATGTCCTGCTTGGAACGAGGCTCCAACGGTGAAGGCGTGAATTGCGAGAAGTACAAAGTGAATGACGAGACTGTAGTTTTTTGAATGCGCACCAGTATGGCCGTGGCGAGAGAAATGAAGATCTCCAACTAGCCTTATTCAGTCTCGACTTGCTTTTGCCTGGTCAAGGAATCCGCACTCTGTAGGTGAAGACCAAAACCATTTTGCACGGACTTGTCAATGAAGGGGATAAGGGGGTCGTTTCCTGTCCGCGACTTGTACGGCATGCGCGGCTGCGCAAGGGCGCAGCCTTTTAGATCCTCGACTCATCTTTGAAATCCGATGCTTGCTAGACCAATCTGCAGCTCAGACATGCTGAACATGGACTACTTGTCAAAGATTTTGATAGCATTTGTGCTCCAGAGGAGAAAAGGTCGGAAAGAGAAAGCAAACAGATTTGATCCATGATTCATGCTTTCAGGTTGTTGCTCCTCAATTCATCATATACTTAAGGCAAGTTGATACATGCACCTGCTTTGCTCCAACGCCGTTGTAAAGAGTTTGACGCGAACGTCCTGGATGAAGACAGAGCATAATTCTTTCAAAGACTGCAGTCGCGGGAAATTCAGCCGAATGCACAGCCTGAAATTCGACTAGTTGAGACGACCAGCCAGTTGCGCAAAATCAGGCAGCTTGAACGACAACAGAGCCTTCTTGCATGTTCGAACGCAGAGCCTTTCTCGTTACATCCGTGCCTTTAGCAGCTGTCTCAAGAAGTTGTGCGGTTAGAATTGTTCGTGCGCCTTCCTGTGGATGTACTTGGTTTCTCTTGTGGGACGGATCCTATAAAGTGTTGTTTGTATCGTATGCCAGCTGACCATAAAGTAGACATTATTGGCTGCCAGTTCCATTCTAGCCATCTTCTGAGGATTATGATAGTGCATATGCAGGTGCCAAGGGAATAACATTGAAGTTCAACCATGTACTTTCATGACCTGCAATACACTTCAGGGTGCGGGACATGGTCACTGCAGCATTGCAGCGCAGATCATATGTCAACTTGCCTTTTGGTGTGTTAGCAGGACTGCAGCTTTCTCACTTAGACTTTGCCCTGAACACAACAGAGCTGCACAAAGCTGCTCAGGAAACTTCATGCCTTCAATGCGATTTGTCACGAGCTGAGACTGAAGATGCATCAGACTTCGCTTGTGAAGCTGTGTTTGTTTAGAAAGCTTGCCATGGGTTCAGAACACGACATGGAATCTGCAGCTGCAACATGCTGCAAGGACTTGGTAGGAGCTCCATAGCATCATGTTGGCAGCAAAGGCCGAGGCAAAAGCTAAGGCCAAAGCCGGCGCACAAGACGCGGCAAGAACACGAGTTGACAAGTGTGCTTGGTGCGGGGAGCAGAGACAGGGATGGAGTGATTTGAAGGCACTGGTCTTCTATTGCGAGCATTGCTGGAGTGACTATGACGCCCTTCAGAGTGCAGGTGGCGAGGACTACATAGGCAAAGTTTGGCACGACAAAATTCTTGAGGAGGACAACATAGCTGCAGAAGGTGAGGATGGGGGTGATGGCAAGCAGATCTTGGAATTTACGAAGCACACCTTGAATCAAATCGACTCCAAAAGGCTCAATGTGGGCAGCGATGATGAAGACGAAACAGTCGGTCCACTGCCTGCAGAATTCAAGCCAACGGAGTTGAACAAATATCCAATTGAGTTTCAACAGGCACATATTATTGTCATTGTGGACACATCTGGTTCAATGAGAACCAATGATGTCATGCCTGAAAATGCCGAAGATGGTGCGCAACCCATTACTCGTATGTCAGCTGTCAAACTTTCTCTCTCCACCTTCTTTGAGAAGCACAAGGAATCCGGCACCCCTCACCGTTTCTCGCTTATCTCCTTCAACCAGTTCAGCAAGCTTCATTTTTCTGCCAGGACGGCAGCAGAAGCACTGCACCACGTCAAGCTGTGTATGAAAGAACTTGCAGCAGGTCATGGCACACATTTTGTGGCAGGCCTAACAGCTGCAAAGAGTCTTCTGTCGGGCTATGTTGTAGGTACACCGCATCTTCTCATTTTCAGTGACGGTCGTCCTGCAGATGGTATCCAAATGCTTCACACAGCCCAGAACATGTTGCAGACTTTTGAGAACCTTCGTATACATGCCATTGGCTTCGGCGATGGTTTGGACTTCGAAATGTTGCAGCAGTTAACTTCCATTGGCCGAGGCAGCTTTGCACCATCCGATCGGTCTGTCAGAGCTCTTCATTCTGCCTTCGCCTCCGTGACTTCGACCGTCACTGCAACGCAGACAGTCACCAGCCGATCTGGCAAATCGAGTTCATATTCCTTCAAAGGTCGACCAGTCCAGTCAAGTGGAGAAGATGCTTTGCCTGAATCAAAGGAAAGAGGCTTGAAGCTGAGGAGTGTCAACTTTGAACCTGCAAATCAATTTATGTGGAGCACGAAAAGCTCGGTCAGTTTCAGAACTCGTCGCAGATGGCTTAGCTTCAATGGGAAAGGCTTCAAGCAGGAAGAGCAATCAAGATTGTATCAACACAATCCCGTGTCCTTGAGAAGGCAGCCCTTTACACAAGGAGGAATGCGCCTTGTGTACTGCTTTAGGGACTCAACAATTCCTTTGTTTGCCGAGCAGCGGCGTGATCAATTTGCCATGCAAGAAGCTGGCACAGATGCTCGTATGGTGGCAAAGATTTCCAAATACACAGATGGTTGGCACAACTCTTTCGAAGTGGTTTCTGGGTACGCCAAGAGCAGTGCAGTCGCAAGATTTTATTCTCGCGTGTTTCGGCTTGCCGTTATGGACCGGTTTGGCTGGAAAGGGCGTAGCATGGCAAGAATCATTTTTGTGGAGTGCTACATCTACACCGTCGAAGAAGGCCACGATGCGCTCCCCCCATTCATGGTCGGTGAACGCTACTTGCCCGGCGTGTTTCGCAAGTACAATGGAAATCATGGCTATGTGGACCCTGATCTGCCAGACTCTGAAATAGCACAAGCATTCTCGCATTTCACTTTTGAAGCGAGCCGTGGGAAGCATATGGTTCTGGACTTGCAAGGAGTGCACTTGGACAAGGGACAGCGAAGAAACCCACACCTGATCCTGACAGATCCTCAGGTGGTTTCGTTGGATAGATCGTTTGGGCCTGGGGATTTGGGAGATGAAGGGATGCGAGCTTTCTTTCGATCTCACCGTTGTGGCGTAACTTGTCAGCGGATGGGGCTTGGTCAAGATGCTTTGAGGAGGTATCGTCAAGCAGCAAGAAAGGACAGGGTATGCAGCAAACTTGCTTGTGCGTGTGGTCAGTTCTTTTGTTTTGAAGACACCAACAAAAACACTTGGGGGCGTGGCCCTGAGCGTGTTCTTTTTTTTTGTTTTGTAGAACTATGAGTAACAGCGGGTTGACATGTGTTGACTGTTTGACCCGTGGACCAAAGCGTTCCTTTTTTGGTCGAACGTACAGTTGATGATCAACGACAGTTGTTGGCTTCCTTCTTTTGCCGTGCGGAGTGATTGAGGCGTAGCAATGCTTGGGGACAGGGGTTTCAACATGTTTCAACCATGGGAATGGGCAAGGGGTGGGAAAGAAGGATGTTCTTCCCGGAAGGATTCTGCATCTCCTATGCCGGCAGCTAGCACTACAGCATTGACCCCTGCCACACCAACCACTGCTGCAGCTACATCAGGTAATTCTGGAAGCATTTCAGATTTGCGAGTTGCTGACCCTGACGCTGACCTTTTAGCTCCTCTTCCCACTATTCCATTGGTGAAGAGTTCGCCAGAGAGGACCGAGATGAGTGGAATCCAGGAGACATCCATGTGGCCAGGGTTCACAACTCGATATCCACCGACCTTTGGTGTTCCAAGTGGTGCCAAGATGGATGGCCCTTTGTCAGCTCTCATGGCCCGTTCAGCTGAATCTGGCAGACCAGACTATGACGCCTTGCTCCGGCGACCGAGCGCCAATCAGCCTGTGAATGGTGAGAACCTTGAAGCGAATCAGCCTGCCATGGTTCGAAGGGTTCCATCTCCGAATCAGCCATGCTTCGAAGGGTCTCAGTCTCAACAGAGTACTCGTTCAGAGTTCAGACCCGAAACCGCTTGCAAACTCAGCCAGAAGTCGCTCGAAGTGGATACGTGCGAGTCGCTCGAAGACTCACAAAGCACGGTCCCAACACCTCTGAGTGAGGCAAGTTCCGGAGCCTCTCTCAGACTTGGCGATGAAACTGCGATCGTTGATCCTCCCAAAGGGGGCAAGAAGAGCATTGTGTACGGCCCAAATGGAAAGAAATTCACTCTATCTGCATCTTGCAGAGCTCATGTCATCGCAGCCATCGATTCTGAATTCTCAATTCCAGAGGAGGAACAGCAGTTGTTCCAGGAAATCACTTCCCTGCCCAATGTGGACGTCTATCGCGTGGAGCGCAAGATGGATCCTAGAAAGTTGAAGTTCACACAAGCCAGTGTGAGCCCAACCTTTCGTGATGGTAGACCAATTTTTGATCTTCTGAATGATCTCAACGTGCAGAAAGTTGATCCCTTGAGGGAGTTGGAGCCCTTAGATGTGGTATGGCAGAACGGGCATTGGAGGTCCTTGTCCAATCGCAGGCTTTGGGCATTGAAGCACTGCACTATTGCCATGACAGGGCAACCTCTTTTTGTTCGTGTGCGGGTGCGTCCAGCGGATGCCGAATTTCGAGCCAAATCCACAAGTACAAATGACGGAGCTACTGTTTTGGTCATTTCGAGATCGCGGTCACCTTCACCAACTGCTGCTACAGTTGCAGCTTGATTTCAATTTTAAGTGTACAGGCATTCATTCGAAGGCATGCTGCTGCCTAACAGTCACTCGTTTGCACACAATCACTCTGCGAACAACAGTCCTTCGCAAAAAAGACATCTGTGCAAGATCTGTGCAAGTCGTTTTCTAGCTGAATCATGACACGTTCTCGTTTGGACAGCACAATCAAAGCACCTCCCTCGCGCCTTTCATTTCCAGTTGTTGAGGCCTTGGTCAGGATCCATCGAGTTCTACGGCGCGGGTCCGGAGCACGGAGCCGGCAGCTGCGCATCCGTTTCAGACAGTGTGGTTTAGGCAAAAGTATACAATCTCTACTGTTGAGACATTCAAGATCCAATTGTTGTGACTGGCGAGTGGGAAAACCCCCACAAACCTTAGTACGAAGGCTATAAAGAGCTTCGTTTGGCAATGTGGTGAGGGTCCTGGTATAGATGTTAAGGATGTGTTGAGCGATGAGTCTTCCTCGAACAGTGAGCACATCCATACCATTCTCAGTGCTTTTGACAGACCAGCAGCTATGTTTCAGGTGGCCATTCCATGTTCAAAGACGGGCCATTGAGTCACGGCTGGGGCCACAGGTGGCCCTCTATACCTACAACCACATTGACAGCAGCACGTCTTTGTGCTGGAAGCGGGCTATGATTTTCCTCTCCCCAAATCCTAGAATTTCAGGCAGCAAAGTATATATATACTGTATAAGTTGAGTGTGAATATGTGATGGTGGAATTCACCAACTGTTGGCCTTGCAGGTCTGCTACAGACGTGGTGCCTTGGTGCCTGCGGCGTGCCAAGACCTTCAGCCACGTTTCACCCTTCACCGGCGGGAGGTGGAAAAGAATTCACCGCTGTGCTAGCATGCAAGATCTTCAGCCACTGCAGTCTTCACGAAAGCAGCTTTGATGATGAAATTGCCCGCAGGAATTGGCTGGCCAGATGGCAGCCAGAAGTTTCGCATGTAAGCTTGGCTCCTTGCTATGTGTGTCTCTTTCAGGCTTCAGGCCCGACCTTAGTTACATATGCCTCGGAATGATGTCAAAGAGCAGAGCTTCTGGGAACGAAAGTAGATCAGTAACCGATCGTTTCTTGCCATTCCAAGAAGATTGAAGTCCTTACTTCAAACATGTCGAATGAGCCCTCCAATTCACTGGTGGCCCTCTACTCTATAGAGACCCTGTCACGGGTGTTTCCGCCAGCCAAGACTTGGCCGGCCGACAGCTTCGCTTTCATGGGAACGTTCCGCCGACACTTGGGCGTGCTGCTCTGGAAGAACTCCGTGCTAAAACGCTGCTTGGGCCTGTATTGGCCAATGCATTCACTCTGAAAGCAGCTACGAGTAACTAGACCATTGGACCATGGGGTCTTTGACAAAGTGGGTAGAATCCCCCTATTTGTCAGGGGCACGACCATGCCCCCAACATCTGTTTGTCTTCGCCCCGGAATTCCCCCACCGTGAGGTCGACAGCCATGCTCCTTGATGTCGGAGATGTTTTTGGCCATTGGCTCCATTGCCTTGTTGGCCCTGGCGAGACACTTGACCTCCGACATCGAGGTGCGGATGGACATCGAGGTGTCGAGTGCGATAGGCGAGATATAGTTTATAAATATATTCCAAGAGATTCCAAGAGATCAGAGGGCTCCGGAAGTCTTCTTTAGGAGTGGCATCCCAGTAAAACTTTTCTCTTCACCACTGTCCCAGAGCGACGACCATTGATGGGAGAGCACTTTGACAACCAGGGTACCATTTGGCCGTTGGCACTGCCCGTGCCATCATCCTGAACCCTTTTTTCAAAAGAAAAGACATGACATGATGGACCATACAGAAGCCCTTTGGTGAGTGATCGATACCAATGACCTCAAAACCGATGAGAACGAGCCAGTCATCCTCTGCCTACTCTGCCTGACCTCTGCTTCTGCTTCTTGAACCGACGTCGCTTCACACCGAGGCTCAGAACTTTCCTCCTCAACACCATTTCATGCAAACTTCTCTGGTGCGCTTGCCGGACCGGAGTCAGGGACACGAGTCGTTACGAATCGGTCGGGTGACACGAATCGGAGAAGAAACGAGCGACGTGAGTCCTTGGGACGTGAGGGACGTGAGGTGTTGCGATCGTCGTCAAGGCAATTGAGGCGACCGTGGCGTGAAGTAGGCGACCGTGTTGAAAGACCCAGGTGATTTGGATGATGTACTGTAGGCGTTGGAATTGTAGGTGTTTTGGTCTTGGAGTGGACTTAAGACGCACGTGTTCTTGGCCAAGACATGTCATTTTGCACAAGTCTGGAGTGTGAGTCTCAGCGCGACGGCAAACACGTGTGCGTTCCTTCTTGTTTGCAAACGGCCTCTTTTTGCGCCGCAGTGACGGGAGGAGTGTGCCGAGTTCTTGCCTGATTGCTCGGTGGAATTGGTGAAAGATTCTCCCCACAGCGCCACCTGCGTGGAAGGCAAGCTGGAGTGCGACAGGGAATGAAAGAACTGGGTCATAAAAAAAGGCTAAACATTGCTAAACTCTAGGCAGCGATTGGCAAGAATTTGTGAAGTTTTTGATGAATTCGGGATAAGGTTCCTTCAAGCCTTTGCTTACATTCAGAAGACTCCTGATAAACCAGGAAACCACAAGCTGAGGGGTTGCAACGCGTTGCATCGGAAAAAGTACTGTTTTTTGACCAATGAGCCGGAGTGCCATTTTCCGGAAGGTCTGCGGGATCCCTTTTCGCACCTCCAAATTTGGACATAAAGCATGGGCGGGAGGCAGTTTTCTCCACACAATTTGTTTGTTTGTTTGTTTTTCTTTTTTTTCTGGAATCCAGAAGGTAGCCTTTGCCAAGAATGCTTTCAGGTGTCACCTTTGGCTGCATGGGAAATGCGCACCATAGTGGTCGGCCTGGTGTTATTTGGCGGCAACGTTCCGTCAAACCGGAGGTGATTTGCTGCACGAGCGGGCCAGCGGAGCATGAGGTCTGTTGAGGTCTACTGGCAGCCAGTTCATTGATGTTGATTGATCCTGACCAGCCCTGAGGTCTGGGTCGCGATGGGCTGCCGTGGCATTTTTCATCTCAAAAAACAAGAAGGTGCGAGTTTCACTGTGCCGAAAACGGCCGTGGTGCGCCATTCGGCAGATCCATCAATGACTTGAATCTCAAGCAAACCAGCGCAGCGAGAATCGGACGTGGACGAAACTGCTCAGCTTTCATGCTTTTTTTTTTCCCACTAGACCAAACGAAGGTTGTCTCTTGCGCAGGTGAGCATTACGTACGTTGCGAGGCCAGGTAGCTTTTGACCCGTTTGCCTTTTGAGCTTTCCATGTGATTTTGGCTCCTGTTTACTGCTGGCCACGTGCTGCACCGGCCACGTGCTTGGAACGTGCCAGGGACAGAAAGATGGCCGAGTCAAGACTTGTCCCATCCATCCATGTGACATCCCGGACTGCCACAGTCATTGGTCGATGTTTATTTGGAGTTCTATAGAAAAAGAACAATGGATTCCGAAAGGATGCTTCCCTGGAGTTCTTGTTTCTTAGACATGAATTCCGCAAGAACTTTTAAGACTCCAAGATTGTTTGCTTGACCCTTTTGCTTGAAAGGATTGATTATATAACTTTGATTCAGTGATACTCAGCCAGCGAAATGACCAGGACAAAGATAAAGAGCCGTGTGACTATGAGGAAGGTCTCGGGGGTGCTGAGTGCGTCCGACGAGGATGTTGCTACAATCCTCACACCAACCAGTGTTACAGGGCGCAAGAGTCGCGACGATTGCAAGCGCACCTTGGAGCACTCGGTGATGCACATGATCACTGGGGATGCGCTGATTGCATGGGTGCATTTGCAGAAACCAAGTCTCATGACGATCTTTCACCTCCGGAAGCAGTGACATGGTCCTTGAGTAGGACTTATGTTGGGCAGGACTTCTACAGGGGCTACGGAGGTCAAGTCAGCGAAACCTTTCGGCGCGGTCGAGCCGAGCAAAGATGAGGCACATGCCATCGGCTGGGCTCCCATCCTTTTCTCCCGCTGCTCTGCTGGGCATGCTGGGTACAGAGGCGCACGCAACTCACACGCATCGTCTTGCATCACTCACCGGTGTCAAAGCTCATGCGCAGGGACTCGACAGAGGGTATGTCAATGGAGGGAATTCTTGTGGTATACGAGTGGTTGAAGAACATACGGTATGAGGGACCCAGTCGCAAGAGCCTAAGTACAACAGTGATCGCTTGATCCTCATGTTTGGCAGCTTAAAAATGATGCATGACCCGAAAACAAAACCAAATGGAGTGTTGTCAGATGCGCCTGCAGTTCCGCTGGCTAATATCTTTTGAATCAAAAGGGCCTCAAGATATTCTTCATTCTCACAGCATGAATTGGAAAAACACAAGTATATTCACCGCACAAGCCTTAGCACTCGCCCCATGTTGCAGCTTTTTGAAGACTTCCTTTGTTATATATTCACCACCTAATAGCAATGGCCTCCAACCTGATGGCGACGGCCTCCAACCCAAACTGCCACTCCTGATTCTCCTCTCCCAGGGCGGCATGCGGCGCTTGGATGCCACCTTCGCCCTGGCGCCGCGCGGCGGCGGCGCCGAGGAGTTCCACGGCTGGCTGAAAGCGTCGAAGCATCCCTGGGCCGAGCGCGCCCTGGCGAGGTGACGGGACCCGTTCGTAGCGTCCGATCGCTCCGTTCGTAGCGATGCCCGAAATGCTCCTAGTAGCGTCCGATCGCTCCGTTCGTAGTAAGGCCAGGAGCCCCTGGGGCTCAGTCTGCCAGGTTTGTCAGTCTGGACTTCGGCCGATCTTCATTTGCAGCTGAGGTGTCCGCATTTTTGACTCTGCCGACGAGGTGGTACGGGCTCATCAGGGCTGAAAAAACTAACCACCACCAAAAAGCCCTGGTAGGAAACATCAAGGAACATTGACATACAACTGTTGAATCCTTCTCTGTGCTCGCTTTTTTGTAGCACACTTTCTCAGAGCAAACGAATGTCAGAAACGCTGTCCAGGTGGAAGCGCTGCTGCGCAGCAAGGGCTACCCCGCGCGCGATGAGGACGCCAGGAGCTCCGAGGCACTCTGCGGGGCCGTGGTCTTCGACACCAAGC